ATACCCTTTTGTACCCTTTGCAACTTGAACCATGTAAATTTATTACCTATCTAAAAAATAAATGAGAAGAGCCCAGCTGATGTGGCTCAGTGGTTGGGCATTGACCTAGGATCCCGGAGATCACGGTTCGATTCCTAGTCAGGGCACATGCCCGGGTTGCAGGTTCAGTCCCCAGTAGGGGTGTGCAGGAGGCAGCTGATCAATGACTCTCTGGTCATGGATGTTTCTATCTCTCTCTCTCTCCATCTCCCTTCCTCTCTCTGAAAGCAATAAAGACATATTTTTAAAAAATGAAAAAAATGAAAAACAAGAAGAAAAAATATCAGTACAAGCGTAACTGACCTAGGTGTACCTTCTGTGTTCACACACACCCTTTTTTGTACTTGCTCTATCCAGCGACATTAATATTGGGACACTTCCTGTTTTGTCCCCCCAGGACCCTAATGCTGATCAAGCTGCTCAGCAGGAAATGAGGGGATCCTTTATCCTTGCTTGGTGATGGACTGGGTGGAGGTCCAGGTCCATCACTGCCCTCTCACAGAGTAGCTCAAGGTGGGGCCTCAGAAGTGCAGGGCACAAGTTTAGCAAAGGGACGGCAGTAGGCCTCCCAGAAGGCCACACTGGCTGTGTGGTCTTCCAGAAATGGGGGTGCCTCTTTGATCACTGCTCAGCATCAAGGCCACACAGTGTAGAGGAGGGGCTGCCATACTCCATGCTTTTTGCAGACTGTGGAAAGGCAACAGGCTGTGGAGAGTCAGAGACTCAAGCTGGTTCCTTCATTTTTGCAGGATGGCTTTGCCTTTTAACCTCTGAATAAAGCAGTTACTTTCTCTCTAAAAGGAGGGGTTTGATGTCATTTATCTCTTGGGGCTTCTAGAATGGACATCTTATGCTGTGAACGGTCAGCCTTTAGCCATAGAGAGTCACAGCTTAGGCCAAGGGACATTTCACCCTCTCTGGATCTCTGAGGCTCAAATGCTCATTCTAGACAACTTGGGAGAGGTGGAAAGAAATGAGGGATGACTCCTCCCTCTTGGGACCCCCATTTCTACTCCTTCCCTCTTCCCACTACCCCAGAACCACTCTAAATTTTTCTCTGAGGAGATTGGGAGAGACAAATCCCTTTCACTTCCTACCCCACTGGCATCATCAAAGCCAAGTTAGGGAGGTGGCAAGGAGCAGAAGTGAGCCCAATCTGCAAAGCACTATTTGTCAGCAAAACTTGGGAAACTCATACTGGCTACTTCTTAAGGATATTTTCTGGAACTTCAACTCAACGAGACTTAAATTTGACCTTGACATTGACCTCTCTGCCTTTACTATTCAACACAGTACTGGACACTTTTCAGGTATACTCATGCTCCAACTAGCCATGAATTCTCATCTTGCTGGTTCCAGGGCCCCTCCCACAGAATAACCTTTCCCCACTCTGCTGCCTTAACCCAGCTCTTAAAGCAGAAATTTTCAAAATGTGGTTTCAAAAACCATTGCTTTTGAATCACCCAAGAGTTTTATTAAAAAACAGACTCCTGTGTAAGACCTTTTGGATTAAAATCTCTGGGGGTGGGCTGAGGGACCTTCACTTTATACACACACACACACACACACACACACATAAAACTTAAAAAATATTTTTTTTAAATTGATTTCAGAGCCAGGAAGAGAGAGGGAGAGGAGTATAGAAACATCAATGATGAGAGAGAGTCATTGATTGGCTACCTCCTGCAGGCCCCATGACCAGGAATTAAACCTTGATCTTTTGGGTCATAGGTCAATGCTTAACCAGTGAGCCATGCTAGCCAGGCAAGGGACCTGCACTTTTAAACAAGCTTCTATGGTGATTCCTATCCACATGAAGGGGTTTTGGAAGTGAATAATCTAAGGCTATCCTTTAGCTAGTATTAGTCATGGTAAAGACACACCATTCTGTCTATTTTTTATTTCTATCCAAAAAACATTTACTGAATGCCTACTGTGTGGTAGGCACAAGCTTGCCCTGTGAGCCTTTCATTCACAAAGCTCTCAGGGAATCGCACAGAACTCTAATCTGCTATCCAGGGGGAAGGTCACGTTATCAGGCTCCTGATAGGTATAGAATTTCTGTCCTTAGGATCCCATCTCTACCCTGGGAAGACACCCTCCCCCCCATTCCTTTTAATCCAACAAGCAAGAGCCTTTCTATGTTTTGGGGCTGTGGAGCCAACAGTTTGCATGTGCTCAAGTGTCTCCAAGGGATAACATGGTGGGGCTTGTGGAGAGGGGTTGCCAAGAAGCTTCTTAGGGACACTATAAACACACAGAAGACCAGACTGCCACCCTCCATCACTTCTGTCTGCAGAAAAGAAGCTTGTTGTTCAAATGGGAGAGAAAAGTAGTTATGTGTGGTGGGCAGGGAGTGACTGCTGTGGTGAGCAGGATGGGAAAGATTTCAAAGCATTCCTACATCAAACACAACCTGGCAATCAGGCCCCTCTGCTATCACCACCTGCTGAGAACTCAGCACCAGAACCCAGCAGGGCAAGTGGCCCTCGGGAATTCATGATTTGAACAAGCAATAAAATCAGTAAGACATTTCTCCCATACCCTGTAAACATTTAGGAGACAAAGTTTAAAGTTACTCAGAATACCCTATATTGTCCTGGCTGGTGTGGCTTAGTTGGTTGGAGTGTCATCTTGTGCACCAGAAGGTCACAGGTTTGATTCCAAGTCAGGAATCAAATAATATCTTCCAGTTTCTCCTTAGAAACTATAGACACATATTCTTCTGGAGTAGATTTATAGTAGTTAAGACCTATGCCAGAAATTAATCCTTTGGAATGAATTCCGTGGTCCTTTGGTTTGTGACTATTTCCCCCTAGCTTAGCCCTCCCTAAACAAAGTATTCTAGCAAAATCTCTCAAATTTAGGGCCTTTTCTCTAAGGTTTCAGGAAAAACCATCAGCCTAGGTGCCTTGCCTCCTGTACATTTCCTGGCTGGGGACCTTGGCAAATGTCTGTCTGTTGAATTTGAGTCTGAGATGATCAGAGTCTTGACTGCTAACCCAAGCAAGTCAAGAACCAGTCCAGGAGTGGAGATGACAACTCTGAAGCCCAAGGTGTAGGATATGCCAAAGACTGGGAGATTAAAGGGGGCAGAGGGAAGGATGAACAGAATGTATCTTTCTATATGCAATTAGCAAGGAGTCTGAACAATGTGGGTGAATATCTCACCCACAGCTGTGAAAACAAAACTACTCAATTTTTAAAAATCTCATTCTTTTTTAGGATACTCTTTTCACTCAGAAAAAGCTCAATCTGCAAAATTTTGCTTCAGTGAAATAGTGTGGACAGCTCATGAGTGCATCGAAGTGAATGTTTAATTGTGGCAGAAAGGACCCAACTATTGTCCTGAGTTCTCAGCAGCAAAAACCTGGTTCTTGTTGCAAAGAAGGCTGCCAAGGCACCTAGGCAGCTGGTTTTTCCTGAAACCTTAGAGAAAAGGCCCTAATTTGATAGATTTTGGTCAGACTTGCCAGATAGTCAGGCTAGGTTTTCTGTCCTACATCCTGGGCTGCAGCTAGCTGGACATCTTCAGAGAGGTGTATAAAGCCACACTTCCTTCTTGACACCCTGGGGCCTCTGGGCCTAGGGGTTGTCACCTGATGAGTACCTTTTGAGAGATGGCCTTTGGTTTTGAGACAGGAGTGTAAGAGCTGGGACATTATGCTGGTAAAAACTGGCTATTAAAGTCTAGCCAGAGGTGGCTATGAGGGCACTGTGAACTCAGCAGCATGTGATTTGCTGATAACTTTTGCATTAAGGGTGTAGAGAGAGGACAGTGAAGAAAAGCACCTACTATTTGAAGCCTTAGCTAGCTCTGAAGAGCTCTATCATTTCCTGACCAGGGTGCTAGGCAAAAGCCTTTATTTTTCTCTTTTTAAAAACTAATTAGGACCTTTGTCATTTGATTGACTACAGGAGAAAACTGAAGGAGCAATATCAAGTTTGAAGGGCTGTTTCAGCAAAGGATTCTATTTCCCAGTCAAATCCAAGCACACCAGCAGTGCAGGAGTCCCAGGCTCCTTTAGCTTTGTGCTGGTTCCTCTGTCCTACCCCATCTGCACAGTGGCTCCCCCTCCCCCATCTTGGCTCAACTTCAGCCTCACTACCAGTGACACTTTTGGTGTGGCTTTGTTTGTTCACAAGTTCACATCCCTGTCAGGAACTGGCTCCCTGGACTGTGGTGGCTCCTATTTTCCAGACTTCCTCAGAGTGGAATTTTAGGCGAGGGCTCAATCGCTCTTTCATGACAAGTGGATCAGTAAAACAATAATAAAACCTCGGTCACCATAACTCAGAGGCTGTAATAGATCAAGTTCTCAAGGGCACTTGAAAAGCCAAGAGTAGACTCTTTATTCACACCGAGTTTTAGGAAACTACCGTCTTTCATTACCGCTGTGTGTAAATAACATTTATTTGTTTAATTTGTTATTTTCTTTCAGCCACAAAGAGGGAAACATTAAAAGAATATTCAAGGAAGTTGGGAAGTTTGTCAATGTAAATCGTGTCTTTGTAACCCGTCTACTCTTCATTTCCTGTGCCAACTGCACTTTTATTTCCCGTCTCTCTACACTCAGTAAACAAAACCATATTATCAAGGGAAAGACGTGAGCCCATTAACATTGTAAGCCCTCAGATTTCACTCGCAAGAGACGACGCAGCACTTATCTGATGGAACAGAAGCTTTAATTGCTTCGAGGCACAAGCCTGTCCAAACCTCTGAGATCTGACCCGTCCCTAGGAAGCCTGTGAGCCCTTGAGCCAAGAGCCTGGGAGAAAGCGTGCCCGGCACCAGTGCGTGTGCCAACCTCCCGGGCAGGAGCGCAAAGTGCGCTCCATCACAAGGGCAGATTCTTTATTTTGACAACCTAGTCAGAGCGGAAAATCAGCTAAACTTCCGAACAAGGCAGAAACTTTGTCTTCTATCCAAATCAAAACCGGTCACTCCAACACTCGCGCTTATGCCGCCACGAGTCGAAGGAGGGGAGAAGCTGAGGGCAATGCTGCGAAGTGACGTGAGAATCGAGTCTAAAAGCGAAAGTGACGCGCGTCCCCAGGTATCCAGCACTTACAGCGTAAACCTCAGTCCCGTAAGTCGGAGAAAGGGGGGAAATTAAACCTCTGCTCCGGCTTTAGGAGAGAAATACCACCCGTGCCAAGAAAACCAAAAGCGCAGAGGGCTCAGAGGAAAAAGAGTAACTACGTTCCCTGGAGAAAGGCTAGGAGCAGTCCCCGGGCGAGCTCCTCGCTGCCTTTTAACCCCTTACACGCCGCGACGCCCACAGTCCGCACCTGAGCGACTAGCGACCCAAGACCCAGCAAAGTTCTCGGCCCTCCACCTCGCGCTCACCCGGAGGTCCGTCCTGCCTTCCCCCGCACGCCTCGCCCATACCTGCCCGCGGGGCGGGCGTCCCAGGCTCTAGCCCCGCGCCCTCACCCCGCCCTTCCCAGGCCGCCGGGACCTCGCCGGCTCCGGCCTGGCCCGGGGCCACTGGGTGGCGACCTCCAGCAGGTTC